ATATAGGGAATGTTGCATGCTCCCTGACAATACTTTGAAACAACCAAGGAGAAATTCTAATATGAAACCATTCCTGTTGAACTGCTAGCAAAACTGATGACAGACATAGAACCTATTTTCCCCGTATTCTGAGTTTTCATCTACTGAAAAGGTTTTGGGTGTAAGACAGTATATTAAAGACAGTGTTGTCTTATTGTAACATCAATTCCTACAGTTGCTACTCTGCCAACACGAGATTCTTCTTTGGTGCTGTACAGTACGGTGTCATCTTGCTTTACAGGTGTAATGCAGATTTGCAACAGAAGATGAACCAGGCAAAAGGAAAGCAGGTTTTCTTGGCCTCTTACCTCCTGTTTCCTGGCTCTAAAATCAGCTGGGTTCCCTACAGTGACTGTGAATTGCAGCCCTGAACTCGATGTGAAATGAGTGAATGGAGAGTGACTGAGCCAGTGAGCAGACTATGCCCAGTCCATTAGGGTAAGACATAAAGACACACACAGAGCTCTAGAATAAAGCTGCTGTTCTCCCTATGGATCTGTTCCTAACTTTAAGGAAACCATGCTGACCATTACCTGTAGAATGTCTGTTATCAAAGCCAGTCGTTGGTAAACACTGTGGAAACCCTTCATGAAGGTCCTTCTGTGTATCCTGCCCAGGCCTTTCCTCATGATCTATACTGTGATGTTTATGACTCTCTTTAGGATACTATAATGATTAACCTTCTCAGTCTGATGGGCTTTAGAATCACCTAGGAGACCAACCTCTGGGAAAGGTTTAATTAAAGAGGGACCTGCCTTGAATGTGTGCAGCACCATCCATGAGGGCCCAGACTGAATGAGAAGCAGAAAGCAAGCTGAACACCTCTCTCTCTCCCTGCCTCCCTCCCTCCCTCCCTATCTATCATCTATCTATCTATCTATCTATCTATCTATCTATCTATCTATCCATCTATCTCTCCTTCCTCACTGCACACCCAATGTAACCATCTACCACACACTCCTGCTTCCATGCCTTCTCCTTCATGCTGGATATATCATCGAACCTTGAACCAAAACACACTTCCTGACTTAACTTACTTCTCCCCAAGTTATTTTGCCACGGCAGTATGTAAAAAGAACTGGTACGAGAAGCTGTCACTTAAATGAGTTAGTAAGTTTCTGCTGTGACTAGTGACTGGTACCCTGAGAGCATTTTTATAACTAGAGTCGAACATAAGCAAGCCAACAAAAATTTACTCATTTAAGGTTTAATGTTAAGGGCTGAGTTCGGAACCTGATTTCCACAAGAAGCTTTGCCTTTCATCAATATATAGTACCAGGTTCTTGCTATTGTTGCTATGTCAATACAGGCTATAGTATGCTATTATTGACCAGTGTCCCTGTTAACCTGGGAAATGACAGTGAGTGCTCACTGCCTCTCTCCCTTCTAGCCCTGTACTTGGGGTTTCCTTCTCAGTTATATTTTCTCTGTGGAATGTCTCCCTCCAATCCCCCTTATCAGGATAGGATAAGTTTAGAGACATTCCCCACAACTCACAGCACCAGGATCCTATTACATTTATGTTGGCTCCTGAGCTGTGAGTCTGTGTTTCATGTTCTGGGAGCTGTGCACAAGTCCGGACCCAACATTGTACGTGAATCTTGAAACAAAAAACCCAGCCCATCTTCCTGAATTCGATCCCCTACTGTGGTTAGTATGCAGCTCTTAAAGTCCGTGTGTTACAAGCAGCAAATATGTAACACTCCACTCCCCAAAGTCACATAGTGATGATAATTAGAGGTGAGACTTTTGGGGACAACTGGATTAGAAGAACTCATGAGATTTGGGCTCCCAGATGGCATCAATGTGTTAACAGGAGATAGAAGGAAGGAGGGTGTCGGCTAGCCCACTTGCTCTGCCTTGCCTGTGATGTACCTCCATGACCACATCATGCATCAAAAAGGCCGTCAACAGAAGCCAGCATCTTGATATTAGACTTCCAAGCTCTTGCATCATAAATTAAACTAATGTCTCTTCTTTGTAAATATGATATCTACAGTATTCTGTGGTCTTAACAGAAAATGGCTAAGAGATCCCCTGAAATATCATCTGCTATAAAAGGGGGAAGGACAGAATGAAATCAGAGCAAAAAGAAAAGAGAAGAGGCCAGTTTTCTTATTCTCTTCCCCTTTTCCTTGGCAAGGTGTCTAAACTTTGAAAAATCACACAAATGATGTGCAAGAAGACACTGTCGTCGTCAAACTCATACATCCTATGCTGTAAAGTTCTTCTCTTAAAAATAAGTTGGCATAAAACCTTAAGGTACATATTGTCTCTTTATGTCTTTAAATTTAAACTTAAAACAAACAAACAAACAAACAAACAAAAACAGTGAAACTGTTGAGGTTGCTGTTTTTGAGGCACCAAGAAGCTAAAAGTTTCCAATTACAGAGAAGACTCGTAGGCCTAACTCAGTGCCTTCTAAGTACGTTTACTTGATGTCGATGACAGTTTATTGCAACCATGGTGTTATCAGTAGTTCTGGCTCAAACACTTTCTCCTAATTCCCTGCCCTTATCTCTGAGTCAGACTTCTGGGCTGGAAACAGTGTCTACCACGTCAGCTGCAGGACTGCAGGCCAACCTGGCTGGGGCTGAGCTCCTGTCTCCCCTGCCAGATTCCAGCGCATTTCTCCATCCCAGTCAAAAACACAATAAACAATTTTATTTCGCCTTGTTAATTTCTTTAACATGTAGGAAGATTCTGCAATGTTCTGCAGGACTGGGCTTCAAGTTACTGTCAATTTTTTTTTAACCATTTTTTATCTTCTTCCTTCACATGGAGAAGCTTCATTTAAAAGTACAATTTTAATTTTAGTGTTAGTGTTAGTATTAATGGAGTGTGTATTTGGTGTCTATATCTGGTGTCTGTGTGTATGTCTTTGTCAGTGTAGGCATAGGTGTACGCCATGTATGTTCAGGTTTCCTCAGAGGCCAGAAGCCATCAGATTTCTTGGAGCTGATGTTATCAGACATGGGTGCTGAGTCATCAGACATGGGTGCTGGGTCATCAGACATAGGTCCTTTGAAAGAGCAACAAGCACTCTCGGCCTCCGAGCTAGCTTATCCCTCTAGCATGATCTTGTAAACATGGAAGCTAAGCCCCTTTGAGCTGTGCTCACTGCCTAGAGAAGAATGCAGACATGGCCACTACTTCTAAACATGGACAGTTGTGTCGGAAAAGTGTCTTGTTTTCTCAAAGATTTTCTAAGTTTGCCAACATTTTATCGCTCAAGGATGCATCTCCGACTCAGAGGTAGAGTATAGTGCTAAGGGAGACGGAGAGTTGGGTTCAGTTGCCTTACTTTGAAGCAGTAGGCTATGGCTTTTCTTTTCTTCTCTCTCATCATCGCAGAGGACAAAAGAACATTCACTGATAAGGAAGCCTGACTAGGGACCAGAAGCTCAAACCTTCCCACAGCTCTCTCCTCTCCTGTGATGCTGTGGAATAGAAAGCCAGCTGCCAGTGGAGTGCAGGCCGTAAGGAGGCCAGCGGGCAGAGGAACGGAAGGTGAGCAGAGAGAGGACACGGGGAGGAGGATGGAGTGACGGGCATGGAGGAGGGAGAGCCAAAACCTCGGGGGTACGGGCAAAGCCGCACTTCAACATGCCAAATGCCTCCAATTACAAAATTGAACCTAAGACCAAGCAAGAAGCACTCTAAAACGCTACTGCCATGTCTTCAATGCAGGGGCAGGAAAGGAGAGGAAACCAGCTAAGAAGCGTGTGGAAGATGGAGAGGGTGCAGAGGCCAATGCCTACCTGTAATCCTTTTGCACAAGGTGAGGGAGGCATTCTTCAGAAAGTGTGGAGTTTCACTCACATCCAAATTCCTGACATCAGAAATGATGCCAGGAGCCACTTGCGAAAAACCAAACCCTTTTTCCCTCTGAAAGTGAAGAAAACTCTGTTTTTCTCTGTGGTCTTTCCACCCTGACTAACCTAGGTTCTCTTTCCATTCTTACTGGAAGAGGCTGGATAAAAGGAAGAGTGAGGAGTGCCCTGCAGGCCTGGCTCACTGATCCCTGCACATATGTCCCCACAAGTGTTAGGAACACACACACACACACACACACACACACACACACACACACACAGTTACTTCCTCCATCATAAAGTTAGGAAGAATGTCTCATCAAGATGCTAGGGCTGAAAAGTAATAAAATCTGCATATTTCTTCAGCTACAGGGAGAAGAGTCCCATGTCATAAGTAGAACTGCCATGTGTTTGACAATCTGCTTACAAAAAAAAACCCCAAAAACTAAAAAATCAAAAAACAAAATTTAGACCTTGCTTTACTCTGTGTATGAAAAGAAACCTCTGGTGGATGATAATCTACTAAAAACTTTAAATTTTGGTGTTACTTTAGATTTGAGCAGAAATACTTAAGATAAAAATCAAAGAAAACCCCAAAAGCCATTTTAAAAAGATAGCTATATTTGATTAGATAAACATTTCAAACTCTTATATTTAAGAAAACATGTAAGTGAAATCCAGACACGGTGACACACACCTGGAATCCACACTTAGAGATGGAAGGAACAGAACTGGAGCTCTGTGCTATCCTTAGCTACACAGGCAGATGGAGGCCAGCCTGGGCTGAAGACCCTGCCTCTCCCAAACACAAGCAAACAATATTAAGCACTGCTGGAGGTGGCGATCCATGCTAGCACTAGGGATTTGCTTTGCTCTTTGAATTCAGGCAAAAGCAATCCCTTAAAGTGTCAATAATAGATCTTATACTCTGACCTTAGCTAGACAGTGAAATGCTCCTGCATCTGCTCCTGGCCTCTATCTCTGGCCACTTGCCCCAGGATTTCACACCCGAGTTCTGAGGTTCACTAGGGGGCCACAGAACTACACCTCTCCTGGGCTCGGGATGTGACAAGGACGTGCTTCTGTATCAATTATGACTGTAATGAAGACAAGGCGGGAATAGAAGAGGCTGTGGAACAGTTGTGATAACATGATAGCACTGTATCTCTTTCCTCGGAATACATTTATTGGGTTATAAAGCATATAAACATTTGATGAAAATATTCCTCCTAAGAACAGAGAACAGGAAAAGTAGAGCCCACTCACATTATATCTGACTCCGACTCCTCCTCCGTTTGAGATGAGGGAGACGGTAGGTATAGCTGCACATCTTCACGAAAAGATTCCTTCGAGTTTCCCAAAGTTTTGAATAAAACAACACCAGCTGCTGACAGCATTATAATCTCTGTCGTGCTACATAATACTGATACAAAATGTGGGTAGTACAAAGTTCATTATATATAATATAAAGTTTTAATATATTACATTTGTTCTACATAACAGACTATAAATATATGTGCCATAGCATGTTTAACAGTCATTGTTCCCAGCTTTTCACACTATGGTACCAAATGAAAAGTACAGATTCTCTTCTGAAAAACATTAGCACACAGGCAAAAACCAGTAGACATAGCTTTATATGTTAAAATTCTAAATGATACAGTAGATGTTATCATAACCTTGGCTATAAAGTGATTTCAAAATCTGGCTAGTGATTATCTGGAGAGCGAACCAACCAATTAAGATTTTCTGCCATCACGAGGGCACAAGGCTAAAATACTGAGGACTTGGGGGTGAGACAGGAGGAACAAATGGGTACATCCTGTCAGAGCCTTTACCGCCACCAGTTGACAGAGAACCCTCAGACACTGCCACCAGGGCAGACATGTGGGTATCCACCCAGCAGAAACCCTGAGTTTCTGTTCTACTCTCACAGTTCTTCAGCATGACAGGAGCCTCTGCCGAAGTTCCTCTCTTTTGGTGTTCTGAATTAAGGCACAGCCTGGGAGATGAGGAGCAAGCTGCATCATTTCCTTCCTGGGGCTAGGCCAGGAGACACGTAAGAGTCCGGAAGGAACTCTCATTAGGAGTAGGAAACAGCACAGGGAACTCGCCTGTAGCCCAACTGTGAAGAGCACGCAACCTTCCAAAACCAAACCCTGCCGGCCGCCTTTGCATTTCCTGACAAGCCACATGCCCACCTCCACCAGAGCCAGCACAATGCATCTGCAGGCTCCAACCGCTCTCCGAGCGAGCTTGCGCCTTCCTTCCTACCAGTCCACATCCCACACTTAACTCTTGGCTCATAGCCTACATCCTCCACAAAGCCGTCTAGGTAGTCTCAGCCCTGGGACATCTCACCCATCCTTAACACACAAAGCACTAACATTGCCCACTTCATCCAGTTTCACAGAGGTGTCGGTTGCCTGGGTATGGCTACTTCTTGGAGGATAGAGTCACTCTTCCAAGTCTTTTGTTTTAACCGGTGTGAGACCCGCAGCAGGGCACAGCATATAGGATTTTTAAATGAATGAAAAAGAGTACAGTCAACACATTCTTGGGTCATGGGCATCTTCTCTGGAAATGCCCTGAGGACAAGCTCCTTGCAGTCTGAGGTCCCTCTTCTGAAATGAAAATCAAATGTGGCTACTTCCGGGTGGTGGAAAGAACAACACTTGAAAATCTAAGCAGCACCTCTCGTGTGATTTCCAGGAATCAGGGGCAGGGACAGGACAGGGCCCCTTCCTTTTAAACAGGAGGTGAGCACAATGTAGTCCCAGAGTCAGCATGCACTGTATCCACCATCTTTAAACGTCCTGCCTCGTCGCTGGAGTACACGGTGGTGTCTGTGTCATCTGAATGATACCCAGACTGGTAGCCACTGGTCTGGTTGGAGCCTTCCGAGGCCACAGACTCCCTGCTTTTACTGGGCATCATTCCACTGTGGAAGGAATGGCAAGCAAATGAATTGAAAGGGAAGCCAGTGCATTAGCTTTTCCCCAGCTCAAGGAGGTGGTGTCCCCTCCAGAGACACTAGCCCCTATCTCTCATTACCTAATCAGTCTGTCAGGTCTCCTCAGACAAGGCCTACTCTCAGGTACTAGCATGAGCTAGTACTCCCAGATAAGTCCTCTTATTCAGGTCCAAGTCTTTCAAGCCTGAGATGAGATAAAAGGCCGTTCTCCTTGTGGTATGCAAAGCCCCCAACCAATGGAACAGTTTTACGGCCTTGATGATTGACAGGTTTGTATACAGTGATAAGAGTCATAGGGTCTCTTTCATTATATTAAATGATATTGGGTTGGTCTAAAAGTTCATTTGTGTTTTTCCTGTTGTGTCATTTAGGGGGCTGCACGGTGTATGAAAGATATTAATAAATCTGTAGAGGAAAAAATAAGCTAGTGTACAGTCTGGCCAGACATGGCAAAAACTGCTTTTTGCTCATCAGAAACACATTCTTTGGACAACCTGGGGATTCAGTCACTCAGCAGCAACTGGAGAATGTTTCCAATGACATGGTAATCATGTGAAAACTAACAAACGTGGGCTGTGTAGACCGAAAAGCTCAGGCTTTGCTCTTGATGGGGTCTTAGTCACATTAGTCATAAGAAAAGCCACAGAGAGAGTTTACTCTCTGTTCAGATATGGCTTAAAGTAAGTTCGAAGAACCAGAAATACATTTTGGGCCCCCTCCCAATCCCATGTTTCACTTCCCACACCAAAACCAGTTTGTGTCTCAAACAGCAGCATGACGCTGGCCACCTAGTAACTCTGAATAACTATTGTTTGAGTTAATGAAAGAAGCATGTGGTTGGTGCTCATGGCTTTTCTCGGGCCCTCAAAGAAAGACAGCAAAACTTACTCTTGCTGCTGTTGCTGTTGTATAGGAATCGCTCAGAAATCCACAGGGACCCCCAACTAACACAGCAGCTGTGTGATGTGTGGATCAGATCTTTTGTTTTTCTACCTGGAATGAACCTACTGGCAAATGAATAACTACTGTTTCCCCCATTCTTCTTATAAATGTAGATTTTCATAACGATTTTTTATGTTTAAATCAGGGACACTTATTCAAAGCCATGATACATATTCCTGTTGAGCCATAAGGAAGAATGACTCAAGAACAAATTTTTAATAGTTTTCCCACAACTGAAAAGGGAATGATTCAAAGAATCATATTTAAATATGTTAAACAAGTGAATATGTATCTATTTACATATCATCTTTCTTGATTATAGATAAAGCCATTTAAGTACATGTTTGACAATCCTTCAGAGTCTGCAAAGTCTTCACTCTTCAGGATCATGGTACCTGTTGAGATCTTTGCTGTTTGGTCAAGGCCATAGAAGCCACTGGTCACTCTGCTGGCCCTAATCAGTCTGCTCAGAAGTCCCAAAGCCTTCACAAATTTAGTCATTAGAAATTGGTCAAACACTCTAACTCACTTCAGATTTTTTTTCTCAAATTCATGAATTTCATTGTTTGGTCCACTTCACTTCTTTATCCATTTGCTAATTTGGGATATTAATGTCATCAGCCTTTAAAGGCACCAAAAGGGAAAACTGCATCTACACTGGATGTCTTTATTAGCCTTCCAAAAATCCCTATTAAAATAGTCTTTCTTAGTTGGCTGAGTCTTACCCAAAAGATGGAGATAATTTGTTCCTGTCTTCCAGAGTTTTCAGCTCTTCTGAGGCAAGGACCATCCCACTGTCTGTCTGGCTGTCCTAGGAGACAGTGAGATGACACATGAGCGTGCACAGGACCAGCTACTTTAAACTCATTTCTCAGTCCATCTAGCTGACCGTAGGACTCAATGTCCTGCCCAGGAGGGAGAGGGTATGGCAGCCAGGGCCTATGCAAGCCACAAAGGAAGCAATTGCTTTCAGGAAGTAGACTTGGGCTAAGGAGAGAGGGAAGATTGGGATGCTAGGGTCCCCTTCTTTCTGCACTTGAGTGACATTGGGCATACAGTTAGACTATCTTGAACCTTGGTCCAGGTGCCTTTCATATGGCAAAACTAAAGGTCCATCTTCCCCCATGGCACATATGCTCAAGGACAGCCTTAATGAGGTTCTAAGACTCAAACGCTTAGGCTAATATTTATCTAGCTAGTATTTCACCCCAAGTATTATTTCTGCAACTATTTATAAAAGATGTACTTACATCTGGGATCACTTTTACTTCTGGTTCCTCCAATGGGATATCTTCAAATGTTTTTACACTTACTGGCCGGCTCTTTCTCTTACTGTTCTGCAGATAGTGACTGCAAGAGAACAAATATTTATTTGTATTTGGGTGGTGGTAGATTTGGCTGTGGCTGCCTCAAGTGATACCTAAGTTCATTATCTTTCAACCACAAGTCGAATAGCAACCTTCAAAACATCCTCTGGCAAAAGAAAAACAAAATTCAAAAAGCATATTTTTTTGCTAGCACACACGGAAGGCTTAATTTCCTGTGAAAGTCTATTTAAAAGTCTAATATAACTGAGAAGGGTAAAGGAGACCCTGTGCCTTGGAAACAGGCTTCTGAGGCTCAGTGCTGAACTAAGGACAAGGGCAGCAGACTCAACAGCAGCTGCCTTCTGATGGGCCCTGACTGGATGGGATTCCTCCAGTCATGTCGCCATGGACTGCAGCAAGCTTCCTTTGTTTCTAGCCACCAACAAAGAAAGGTGTTCTAGACAATATTCACAGGGCATTCTGGGCAAGGGAAACACCTTTGGTATCCCTAAGGGATGCTGTGCTGGGCAGTAATCGCAAGTCAGCTTAATCCTTCTACATGAACTACCTACCGATCTAGGGCACAGAGAGAGGGAGGAAGGTGGGCTGAGTCTTACCCAGCCATGCTTTTAGCCCACATGGTTGCTTATTTCAGAAAAAAACAGTAGAGTCTCAAGACTTTGCATCGCTTTGAGTCTAACACTGACTACACAAATAGAGTCATGCTTCTGCTGCTCCATTTTAAGTGTGTATAGGCAACAGCTATTCTTCTATTGGATTCGAGGATGTTGGCAAGGTGAGTAGCATGGTAAATGTCAAGATTGCTGTTCTTAAAAGGTCCAACAACCAGCATTTGTTTCCCTCTTTTGAATTCCAGAAAACCTTCCAAGAATGAGACTCGTCAGACAGCACATCACCACTCCCTGGGGGTGTTCTTCCCTACCACTTGACATTGGGAGAGTCCAGAGATCCTATCAAAGCCTCCTGCAGCCCAAGGGGAGATAAGAGAAGCCCCCTCACAGAAAACGCCCATGAAGACAATAAACATATTCTTCACTCTTGCCCCATGATGAGCAGTCTGCTGGCACGGTGCATCAATGCTGGGTCAGAGTTGAAGAATGGAAGCTGAGTATCTCTTCCCTTCCCTAAGAGGTCATTTCCTCCCCCACACTGAGGAGAGAATGAGGTTCTCAGTGATACCCCTATACCCCAACTTGGGGGACTCCAGAGGAAAGAAGACAGGCCAGGCAATACAGGGAACAAGCAAAGCCTGTTTCCTGATGCATCTGGTCTTTAAAAGCCATGTCTGTCAAAGCCAGTTGGTATCATGCCTATTCACTCGTTCAGGAAGACCTTTGGAAATCTATCACAGCTCAGACATTAAGCTGGATGCTCTTCAAACACGGCCTCACAGCATCTCACAGTAACTGCTCCAAAACCTGCTTATCCAAAATCATACAACTAGAATCTGAGGCTACAGTTGTGAGGGCCACTGAAAAGTTTGAGGCATGGGATTGGCATGATCAGATATGCTTTCCAGAAAGTTGGCTGTGAGGAGGATAAGACCAGAGGCAGGGAAGCCTGTTAGGAGACTTCACACTTCCCTAGCAGGAGCGCCGAGAATCTGATTAAGGAACGGGAATTCGCGTAAGGTTTGTGGCAGTGCCTGGATTCCATAGATATCTGAGGGGACAAGCAGGCAGAGTCAGGAGGCATGGGTATCACACAGCTACCTTAGAAGATTCAGATCCTTAAATTCTGTGCCCAGTGATTTAAAACCGGGATTGGTCCTTCACAAATGACCAAGTGTTCTCTTTCATCTCTCCTTGCAGCTGCTTGACACAATCTCCCAAAGAGATCTCTTATTTCCTACTGAGAGATGAAGAAGCCCAGACTCAGTGAGAGAAGGGCAAAACCAGGATTCACTCTCAAGTTCGCAGGCGCTAAAGCCCCCATGGAGTTGATTTTTCCTCATCCCCTTCTACACCGACTCTCTTGGAGTATCAGGATGGAAAAGAAAGAAGAGAGTCAAAGGCATGTCCCTTAAATCTTCATTGAGCATCTACTAAATTCATAGCATCGTTCTGGTTCCCACTCTGCACCGACCCTGGGGTGAGTGGGTGGGAAGAGTCAGTACGGAGTGCATAGCAGATGAAAGGTGAAGAAAGAAGACTCCCATTTCAAGTGGTCTAGCATGACGGCCAAGTCAAGAGAGAGCCACATAGCCAGCAGGCTCTCCCAGGTATCAGTCCACCATGGGTATTCAATTACCACTAGCAATTCATCAAAATGAGAACAACACTGTGTCCCAAAGCCTGCCTCTGGGAGAGAACTGCAAAGAAATCACTGATAAACTGCTTGGAATGAGAGGAGAAACTCCCAGAGAAAATGACAGAGCGACCACAGATGGTCCACACGCTGCCCTTTAAGAGAGATGAGCCCAGTAAATGCAAGTTTTCTTGAGGGAAGCACACTTGGGGCCAGGGATGACGATCCAAGGGGGAAGCTGGAGACAAAGCTAAGTCTAGACATGAGTGGCCTCCCTGCCCCCACTCCTCAGCCTCTTCTCTACACAACTGTTGAACAAATATTTTAAAAATAGTCTAAAGGGGCAACAAATCAAGAGGCTGTCTCCCACGGTGATGTCCCTGCCCAACTCTATTTATAATTCAGCAGAGTTGAAAAGTGTAAGGGAGGAATCAAAGCGAGAAAGACTCAGCTTTTCTACTTGGCTGGAAGCGTGAAAACAGAGCGAACATGCCCTGAGAGGTGTCTTAGCCTCAGTGGATTTTCCCCCAGAGAAGCTGAGCCACATGAGAGGCTCGCAGTGCTGTGTGCAGTGTGCTCATACCGCCACACCCTTCACTGTCTTTATTTCAGACCACTGTAAGGTGATGGCGCCCTTTGTTTCTATAAGAAGAAGCATAGGGGACTTGAGAAGACAAGCAAACAAAAGCTTCCAATGTCTGTTTTATTTTTCAGTTTATGGATTGCTAAAAGAGAAGTTAGTTTGGGAAGGCTCCTCCAAAACTCCCAGGCAGAAAATCTGAGCCAAGCTTGGCTGGGCTTAAAGCATGGTGTCACGTCTGTCCACACTTCTGGGGATAAACGTTAGCAGTCTCTTTTAGACCCAGCCTCACACTAGCATTCCTGCTTCCCAAACTTGACTTCATCACCTGCTTAGGGCCATATTCAAAGAAGCCAGCAAGCCAAGTGCCCTGAACTCTGCTTGGTCACAGGACATGAGGAGGACAGTGTGCTGTCACAGGGCTCTCTGATTAAGGAGAAGGCCACGCAGCATGTCAGAGGAACGAGCAAGCCCGAAGGCAGGTGAACCTGAACTAGGAAATTGCATACATGGGAGTCTCACTTCGTGACTTCAGACTCTTCCCCTGGGAGAGCCTCTCCTTGGAAGGAGGGAAACTGCAGCTAAGTCAGAGATCAGAGGACATGGATTCATCTCCGGACAGGATGGGAAGCAGCTCTCTTGAGAGCTGTCCTTCATGAAGTGCCTTCAGGTGTCAGGCACTTAGAAATACATTATAGTATCCAAATCCTCCAAGCAGCCATTCTCAACAGCAGTGGGGTAGCCTTGCTTCACAAAGAAACTGTGTGTGTGTGTGTGTGTGTGTGTGTGTGTGTGTGTGTGTGTGTGTAGCAGGAGTGGGGTGGCAGTTGGGGGTGATAGACGATTTGGGTTACACAGCTGCTAAAAGGCAGACCCAGGCCTCATATCTGGTTTTACCAAATTCTCAGGTCTACACCTTTAATCACACTGTTTTGTACTGCCCCAGGCAGTTGAATTAAAACTTATGTTCAGTATCCAACCTAGAAGATAGTCTCTATCTTGCCTAAATTCTCATATAGGCAAAACAGCAACAAAAACAAAACAAAACCAAAACCCTGATAACGTACAGAAAATTTCTTCAAAATACATTGACTGCTCTTGTTATAAAGGGATGGTAGCTTGCCAATTGACACCTAAGTCTGTCTGTCTGTCTGTCTGTCTGTCTGTCTCTCCATCCCTCCTACCCCTCTCTTTCTTTAGTGCAGGATTCCTGTCATACAGGATTCCTCAGGGCAAACATCCCTAGGTCTCTCTAACCTCCTGGCTTTGCAGCTCCTGGGCCAGTGCCTCCCCTGGAAGACAGCTGCCCATTCCTCCTGCAGCTTGGGGACACCCAGAAAGACAAGCTGTGCCCATGCTGTCAAGGGGTCTAGTTGCAGAAGAACAATGCCCAAAGCGAAGCAAAGTTGTCTTGGGCTTAGGAAAGGCACTGCTAAGATGGCATTGTGGGAAATCCCATCGGATTGTTCCTTATGTGCAGGTATTAACTGAGAACACAGAGAGCTGCCGGGTCTACAGACCAGAACTGGACTGCACTGCATTTGTTTTAAATACACTCAAGCATCCCATTAGGTAAACACAATGCTGAAACTCAGACTGGGGAGAGATTTCTGAGCTGTAGTTGCCAGCCCCGTTGAGGACACAGCCTGTGGCATGCTGTATCTACACCAGAGAGCCCTCAGCATGTTTCATATTTGCACAGAATCCTTTCTTCCTTAGTCTTTCCTAAGCCATTCAATTCACCTTAATAAAAGTGTACATGGGGACCATTTTAATACAGATGTCTCAGTAACATGGCTGTGTCTTTGTTTCTAGAGATTAACGAACTGTGGTATCTTAGTTATTTGCTCCCACAAGGCTTAGAATTCTTAAAGGCAGAGCTGTGCCAGCAACATGGGCCACAGATGGGAGGTGGCTCCACTCTCCAGACCTTTGGGGAGCCCTCTGAATGTCAGAACTCCAGTTAGCCAGAAGTAGTTTGAAGCAGCCTAATCAAATGTCTCCTCTGCTACCTCCTGAGCTGGCCTTGAAGCCCCTCACCCCCTGCCCTGGAGGGGATGCTGGCCATATCCAGTACCTGATTCCTGCTGTGTTGTCATAATGGAATTTGGGGTCACACACTTCCTCTTCCTCCATGCAGGAAACAGGTGAGGTAGGCAGGGAGAGTCCAGAATCCTCTTCCATGCTCAGTGTCTCTGACATTGGAAGAACAATATAGTCTTTGCCATCCTGAAACAATAAACACAGCATGCTATTGTTATGGCTGCTGTCCTTCAAGGGCCTTTTCATGAAAAACAAAGAGGGGGGGGTGTCTTTGGCTGTGTGTGCTGCTTTCATATCTGAATACAAGACTTCAAGACTGTCTTGGAAGAGGCTTGACAGAAACAAAAGGGCACTTGAAAGGGATGTGTGGAAGAAGGTTAATAAAGGGACTAAGGAAAAACAGGATTAGTAAAGGAACAAGAGGCCATGGTTGCCATGAAGACAAAGCAGGCAATGGCTGTGGAGGCGATGTGAGAACACAAAGCCCAGAAATCAGTTCCCCACAAAGACCTCCCCAGGAGCCAGGCCTTCAAAGCACAGTGCCTCCAGTGGAGCCTCTATATTCCAAGGCAATGGAAAAATCAAAAGCAGTGAAGAGGAAAGCAACCAACAGCAGGATTACAGGAATTCTGGGAAGGGGTAATACAGGCCGATGTTATTTCTCACGAGAAAGAAGAAAAACAAGCTCATCTGACACAGGTAAATGCTTGGAAGGTTTGCTAATGAAAATGGATGCCACCCTCAAGTGTTCAGACGGACAAAGGAATCCATTGGCTCTCACTAGGTCAAGGGACACCTAGCAGAAGACAACGAACTTTTTAGAGGGCAGAGCTCTGTTGTGGAGCTGTCATTGAGAGTGTGACATTTCACCAAGAGGGGCCAAGGTCATGGTTTTGCCTAACTTTTATGTTTTGTTTGTTTTGGCTTTGCCCGTAGAATTTACTAAAAATTACATGAAATTCCTTCGATTTCTGAAAATCTGTAAATTAGCCAGATTTGGTGTGTTGTTTTGTTTTGTTTGTTTGTTTGAGATACTCTTGCTATGCTGCCCAAATTGGCCTCAAACTCGTGGCTGTTTGGGATGAGGTATGTATGTTTGGGATTACAATGTAATCCAGAATGCTGGGACTACAGACATGCACCATCATACTCAGACGCTTTTTTTTAAAAATTTTTTTAGAAGAATATTTTTTAGAGATAACATAAAGAAATAAGGAGGTAGGGACAGCAGGATGACTCAGTGGACAAAAGCATCTTCAGCCACGCCGGATGACTTGAGTTCTTTCCCCTGGACCCGCATGGTAGAAGGAGAGAACGGGCTGCTGCAGCTTATGCATAGGGTAGAGTTGTGAATGAATTATTCTCAAGCTATGAATTAGGGTCTCATCAGTCTAAAGAGTGATTAAGGCTTTTAGGAAGCATTATTGCTGAGGACTGGAAGAGAGAGGCTCTGTTTTCAGTGGCCAAGAGAATAACATGGCGCCGTGTGAACGTCCAGGCAGTAGACTGTTAAGATTACAGACCTTGGACCTGAGGCCTCTTTGAAGAAGCTTCTCCAGTAGAGGATTACAAACCTGCTGAGCATTTGCTTGGAGGAGATTTCCCAAATGTTCCACCAACTCTGAAAATGAGGGTCTCTGGTTGGGGTCCTCATGCCAGCAGTCCAGCATGGTCTGGTACCTGGACAAGCGAGATACGGGTTTCGTTAACATTGTCATCCTTCCATGAGCTAATGGTCATGATAAGTGCTTGAGTGAGAAGCATTTGCAAAGGGCTGAGATGCTAAGGAGAGGTGAAACGATAGGAGACACAGACGACTGCACTTGGAGGTCCAACCATCTATGGAAAGGTCTTCTTTATCACAGCACTATCAACTTAAAAAAAAGAAAGCTCTCTGGAGAGGGTACCAAGTAATGCCACGATGGTGCTTGAGCTACCTAACGAAGCTTTCAAAGGCAAGGCTGAACAAACTAGGCCATGGCGTAGACTCACACAATGGAAGGCTTTCTTGCCTTAGTGGGAAGAGTTTGTGAGAAAAGAAAGATGTTTTCCAGAGTCTTACATTTCTGGGGTGGTGTAGTCAGGAGCCCGCATTCTAGTTCCTTCTTTCAATCTCCTACAAAATTCTTCATCAATCTTGACCCCGGGATATGGGGAAGCACCTAGCATAAGGCAGGAAAAGAGCATTGTGAGATCTGAATTCCTCACAAAATGCCTTAAAGCCAGATTCTTCAGTATCACCTACATAGCTTTCTTGATTTTACAACCTAAATCTTCTAAGAAATTCTATTTGAAAGGAGGTAAAAGACAGAGAAATGATACACAAGGGTCATCGTCGCATTTGCTCCCAAACCCCCACCCAGAAGAGGGTCAAAGAGGGGTAATTTACCTAAGGAAAATATTTCCCAGAGCAAAACACCAAAAGACCACACGTCGCTCTGAATTGTGTATACTCTGTCAAAAATTGTTTCCGGGGCCATCCACTTCAAAGGGAGTCGGGCCTGAGTGGGAGACAGCAAGGCATCAGTTCCCAAATTGGCAGGTTTCTAAAGAAAACTCTCCCCTCACTTCCAAACACAAATCCACAAAATTGGAATTCCACATCTGAATAGAGGTGTTCAAAGTTCATCTCTGGATACCTACATCTCCTTTTCTCACATAATCTGGGTCTTTGTAAATGTCCCGGGCCAAGCCGAAGTCACAAATCTTAACCACATTCTTCTCCGATAGGAGAATGTTTCGTGCTGCCAGGTCCCTGTGGATACACTGTAAAAAGAACAGTACGTGTGATAAGTCTCTACACAGCTAATCTCTTTCACATCTGTCGTTACCTCACGCTTAACAAAAAAAAATCCCACATCAGAAACCAAGTCATTAGCAAGGACTATGGTTGTGTTTTACACCAACACGTCAGGAAGAGGGCCTGTGTGTTTCATTGAGACACACATCTGCTTATCCCATAAACAGTCCTGGCTGTTGGAGCTAAATGACAAAGTTACAGTCTGATGATGGACACAATATAAAAAAAAAAACGTGCCTCTGATCACATCCACACATCCTTTGGCTTCTGCTCCATGTGACTAAAACCGGGTTAGACTAAGGAGATCCCAGAATAGACTGGTCTTGAATGGATGTGGAGAAATCAGGAGCAAGGTTCTCATTGGTGTGGTGTGCTTTGTTAGCCTTCTCTTCCATTTGGTATGGAAGCTGGACTGGATCCGGAGGCAGCACCCACTGGTACTCATCCTGCTTCCAAAGCATTTGATAGTACAGTGAAGATGAACCCTGGCCAACACGTGTGGAATAGATCCTGTCATGCCAGAGCTCAGCTCAAAACCTCTGGATTCTCAGTTCCTCCGGTTGTCTCCTTTCTGTCGTCTAACTTGATCTGACTTTCAACCATCAAGCAGCTATGCCCCTCTGGTCATAGCCCTCAGCCAAGTGCCTAAGCACCATCTGAGAGGGAATATGAGCCCCCAAAGACCATTAGAGACAAATGAAAGGCGATGTGAGGTCAACACAGGAGTGACCAGAGAAGCTGGTAGTCATTGCCTCTGCGCTATCTGGCACCCCAGGTCTATACAGCATCCTCCCTCACACCAGAATATTCAGTATGGCATTGTCTAGTGTGAGGCAGGAAAACTGGAAAGGCCACAGAGCAGATGGCACTCCTGCTTGCTTTCAACCAAGGAGCTTCCTTTTCCAGCTGGACAACCAGGTAGTATTCAGAAAGATCATCTGGTGGGTCCGAGGGAAAAGAAAGGACTCTGGCTCCATCCTTTCCAGTCACAGTATCAATTCCCACTTCCTGTTGCCAAAAGGAACTACTTGGCTCGGGAATGAGCTTTGGCATTTACAAAAATAACAATCTTTGAAAGAGACTCAAGGCCCTTCTCTTTGAGAAGATCCTGTCAGACCCTGGTTCTCTCCCTTTTCCTTGGGAAATAAACGTACAAGAAATATTCAGCAGAACTATCTAAGGTCCCAAGGTTCTGGAAGCTGTGAGAAACTCTAAACTTCAGAGTGGAGAGGGGTAAGGGAACTTACAATGATAAAGAAAACAAAAGAAATAGTAAAGCCTTCTGTTCCTTCAGGAACTGGCAGCAAATACATTTCATCAACAGAGAGCTTCTCCTAAATATAATGTGAACCTTTCCTACTGTGTATCCCCCACCTTCCCAAGGTTGCCAGGGACTTCCACCAACCTACTCCCACCTCAGTGGTGTTTACAACAATATTTGTTACTTGTCACGTCCCACCTCAGCCTTTGTTTGGCCTACTTTCTAATTTTAGCTGATTTAATCGTCTTCATCTGAAGCAGGGCCTTCCTGCCTTCTAATTACACAAATAACAAGTGACTTTTTGATGGACAGAGATGAATGTAAAACAAATTAAAAATAGATCCACCACACCAAGGTATCTACAAGACTCCTCCGGCTCCCTCTCCTAGGTCCTTGCTCACATGTCACATCCTTAGTAAGATCTTCTCATCTACCTTGTTTAACACTGAAGTACACACATGTTAGCGTATGCACACACAAACACGCCGTTTCTGTATACTCTGAAGGCCCTTCCTGCTTTACTTTATCGGACGACGTCTATGCCTATTTAACCTTCCATATCTGTTGCTTGGATATTGGATGTTTCAGCAGCCATCAGGGCTATAAACACCACAAAGAAGCAGAGCTGTCTTGGTTGGTTCGTCATGAGGTTCTTAGAAGTCTACCCAGTGCTTAGAGGTTGGTCAATGAGAATTGATTATATGAATTCATTTTATGAAACCTCTAGCCACCTTTTATTAGCTGAAATGGAGCCACCCCCAGTGGCACACTTTAAAGACTCCTAAAAGTGGTGCATGACTTTCTAAACCAAACAAAGGGATGTCTGATTTTTAAGCCTGTGACCTGAAGAGAAGGCTTCCTTCCCCCTGACCTGTCATACCTTTCTGGATGCCAAGAACTCCATGCCCTTAGCCACTTGGAAGCTGTAACAGATGAGATGCTCCAAGGTCAGGAAGTCCTTGTACAGTTCTTCAGAAGCTGTGAGAAGAGGCAGGAGGACAGAGATGAGTGCTCCCACCAAGATGAATGCTCCCACCCGTCAGTAGCTCTGCTTCTAAGTCAACTGCAGTGATCTATTTAAGACCCGAGGGTCAATTTCAGGAAGCAGAGTACCTGCCCATTTGCTAAATCCCAAATTATTAGCCTCTATCAGACTCCTTGGGGAAAATAACACTTTCTCCATTTCAGTCAAATAAAGCCACTAACCCAGAAGGGAGAGTGGAAGTGAAGTCAGTGCAGACAGCAGGGAGAGAAGAAGGATTTTTTTAAGGGCTGCTATCTCAAGCTCTGTTGTTGTTTTCCCATGAACCCAGAGGGGAAACAATAGCTCATATTAAGAACTCTAAAAATAAAACAACAATATTCAGGGTCATCAAATCTTTTCTCTCCAGGTTTTGTCCTGGAACAAAGACCAAGGTTCAAACTACAGTCTACAACAGAAAACTAAAAATACCAGAAAGAGATTTATTTCTCTTGCTTTCAGACTTAAGATGTGTGGTAAGCACATGAAATCTGGCCTGTCAGGGAGGCTTTCCTCCAAGAAGAGGAGTGAGTGACAGCCAACATGAAAGATGAATTTACATAAGTTGGTAGTATTTATTACAGTCAACTGATACAAACAAACTCTGAGGGACTTCTGGATATTTTTAAATGATCTCCTAACTTAGGCAAGATGAGATAAGGCTTACTGTCTCCTTCCTGGACACAAGACCAGAGTAAACACAAACATAATTGTCACAATAGCCTTATTAGTATTAATAAGTCTGAGACTTCTTCCTTGGGCGAGGTCTAAAGGGCTCTTGAGGAACAGTGAAGACCTTTTCATTTTCCAGATAAAGAAATAGAGGTAAAGTCCAGGCCTGCAATTCCAGGTTATTTATACTGTAGCCCTTGGGTTTCCAGCTCACTGGCTACCATTTGTGAGCAGGAGGGTGTATGACCCACTTGATTGTAGACCTCATGACATAAGGCCTAGACAACTTTCCCATGACCCTCTAGCCCAAGACCTAGCCACCAGCTGCCTACACAGCTTCTAAAAAGTGTTAGACTAAGTTATATTGGTGGGCTTATGGCAGGAGAGACAAAAATGAGTGTGGTTTGTCTAAACTCACAGTCCCAAGAGCACTAGACACCAGACATCCCCGTCTCTTTGTCTATACAGCTGGGTCTGCTCCTGAGTAAAGCAGACATACAGTGAGTGTGCTCGAGAGCTGACTGGAGTATGGGAGGTGAGGCTGAGGTCCAGCTCCACCCATCGGTAGCATCATTAAGATCACAACAGCCGAGGGAGACAAGTCTAAAGCATGGAAGGGAGATTGTGAGAAGCCAGCTGGAGTGTAGAGAAAACAACAGATGTGTCTTAACCCATCTTGGAGAAGGTCAGGTCGAGAGAATTGAAGGGGTCAATTCTGTGTGGTGCTAAGATACATTACTTACTAGGTCTGAACCACACATGGCAACCAAGGCTAGCCAAGGACTAGAAAGCTCCCTTCCCCTTCCAGAACATAGCATTGAACCTCTACAGCCAATACATTCTGATCCAGTATTGGACCAAAGTATTGATTTGTTTACTAGCGACAGGTTAGCCTACCAAGTTACCTAGGCTCCTCAAGATAACCCTGATTTGCCTCCCAGTGGAGTTCACTGTCTATTTAGGGATTTCAGGCTTTAGTTAAGCTTGCCTGGACACTGCCTAGGAATTCAGATTTCTTTCAAACATGAAGCTTTCCCCCATTTTTGAGTATCTTGTCATCATTGCTTCCTATGAGAGTGTGTGTTAGGCACGGGCAGCAAAGCAGGTACCTTCTTCTTCCTCTACGTCACTGAGTGATTTCTCCTCAACAAAGCCTGAGCTGGCAGAGCTCTGGCTACTGGTGATGCTGTCCAAGCGCCGTTTCAGATCCACAGAGAGCTCCCCAACGTAGTCTTTCCCTGGGCGGAAGCGTGCCCCTTTGCTCTGGAAAAGAAGGAAATGTGCAAATTCCTTGAATACCAAGTAGGTCTCTAGTGCTTTGCAAGGTTACAAACAATTAAAATTATTAAAAACAAACAAGACAACACTAGGATTCTACAGTCTAGGAGTTAAGTTGGGTGGATGGAGCAGGGAGGAGAGGCAAGTTTTAACTGCATTCCTTCTAAGATGCTGAGCTCCTTCAACAGTATCCTGTGGTAAGTACTTCATGTCCAGGAGTATCCAGACACACTGCCATTAGTGTCCTCTTTACAGTGGGATGTACCCTCCACAGGACCAAGTACAGTTGGGGGGCTGAGGAGACATTGCTGTAATCCAAAGCCAATGCTCGCTCTAACCTGCCCTTTCCTTAATTAAATCTAGCACTGTCATAATGACTCAAGAGATTAAAGTCCTAAAAATAAAATATTAAAGGTCCTAATAAGTAAAATATTAGAAGCATACAATCCCTAGAAGATAAAAGAGGAAGTTAAGACAACCAATGAAATATGCAAAGAATTTTAACTAAAGACACATGCATACCACTCTGAGGTTTGTTTTTTTTTTTTCCTCTGCTTTACATGACCAAAGCTCAGGTAGAAGACAGCCTACCTTATAAGGAACAAATTCATTTCTCTTGCCCCGTAAGTAAGTAGATAGGTTTCCAAACTTGCAGAATTCCACAATCACCATGAGGGGCCCTGCAAATGACAGAGCGTGTTGAGAAAGGAAAAATGTATTTCACGAACAGTTCTCACTATGTGCCCAGCATACTGATAAGCTCAAAAACTGCACTAGAAGAAGGCTGCCTATAACCTTTCATTAGAACAGGGCTGTAGAAATCATACAACGCCAACCCCCTCCTACTGAAACTACTTCTTTTCAAAAGGGCAATTCTATGCACGTAATCCAAACCTCAGGCAATCAGCTCAGATGGCTGCGGGGTGGGAGGAGATGGAGATGGCTTGACAGTCTCTCCTCTCAAGGTTTGGAGATGTTCGGTTTTCTAATCTAACACTTACTACACAAGTGGCAAACCAAATCCCCATGATGAGACCATTCTTTAATTCAACGGACTCTGTAGAGTCATTTGATGACAGTGCCTGCCACAATTCAGTGAGCTATAGCACATTCAGGAGTCTGTAAAGCTTTGCTTCCTTCAGATGCTAACAGAGTCACACTCAGGCAAGCAGAGCCCGGGGCAGTCACTCACCTCCCGGCTTGGTGCAGGCGCCTAGGAGGTTCACCACATTGAGATGGTGGCCAATGTGGATGAGGATCTTGAGTTCAGACATGAGGGCTCGGTGCTCACTGTGTGTTGCTCCTTCTACAATGTCAGAATACAGATGAGAACTATTAAGTGTGCCCATGGCCACAGGATGATGGAGGCATCAAACTGTGCAACTCACTCTCCCTGTGTAGCACAGCTATGGCTAACTAAGAGAGCAACCATGTGTCTTGAAGAGTCAAGTGGAAAGTTGATTCCTAATTAGAGATCAAAGCTTACTTGAAGCAAACCCTGAATGACTGGTGTTTAAAGGACTCTAGGGAGAAGCTTCCTGTGAAGTCGTGAACATATCTGCAATGGATTCACACCCAGAATCTCTTTCTATACAGATCTCTGTTTTTCTATTTCAGGTTTGGTAGGCTGTATAGGACATTTCAATGTCTCCTCATAGGAAAGCAATCCCATACATTAAATATTCTCAGATCTAGGGATCACTGAGTTGGCTGGGTGGGTAAAGGCGCCTGCCACCAAACCTAACAACCAAGTTCAAACCTTGGGACCTACACAGTGGAAGGAGAGAAGTGGAAGGAGAGAACCGAATCCTACGAGTTATCCCCTGATTATCATACATACAGTGTGGCATGGATATATTCTCTCTC